AAAAAAAAAAAAAAAATCAATTATCCATTATATGCACCATACAAAAACATTTACGTGTTACATGGACAAACAAGTAATCAGAAACAGATGGGGTACATGCTCCCACTAAATGATACAACTTTAATTAGTTTGTGAAACCAAACTGCTAAAATTAAAAATATAAAACAAAGTACTTCAATTTGCAATTTAATCCATATATAGTTGTTCCCCTACAGCCAAATCTGCTGAAATTTTCTGAAGTTAACAAACTTCCAAACAGATATTAATATATATATATATTTTTTTCATCTTCTATTTTTTGTGATTTGAATTTGGATATGCATTTTTCTCCGATTCCACATGTACATGACATGATAACTGTTGGCCGCCAGACACAGTAAACAAATAGCCCTCAAACTTCCACGTCCAGCCCCCTTAGCATTGTCCATGCGCGGGACGCTGACATTTAAGTTATCAGAAACCAAAATCGAAAGGATCAGGAAAAAAGAATCCAGCAAAATTAATATGCGAAAATCAAAATCAATCACACTCCTTCCAATTCATGACTCAGAACCACCACTTGAATCCCTTGCAACCCTACTCCCGTTTTCATGGACCATGTTACTTCCAGGTTGGCGAAACCATCATCACTCATTTCCTCCTTAAATTCCCAACACCATCAGGAATCTTTCTCCCCACATTTTCCCATCTCCCAAACATGCAAAAAAATCCAGTATCAACCAAACAAGGAGATATGCTGGACGTCTGGTCTTGGATATGTGACCTCCCAAACTCCAAACAATGGTCCGAATCCAACTCCCCACTATTCCTCGAACTTGCTAGCACCTCTGTTCCCTCTTCCAGTCAAGACAGGTCCACTGCATCCATCCAACTCAGGGCTGAACGGACCACCGCGTCCGACACCGAAACCATCCTGAACTTCACCGTCTGCCTCCAAGGCTTTCCCTCCCTCAATGCTACAAAGACTGTCTGGGTCTCTGACACGTGTCCCCTATCTTCAGACAAACCCTTCCTCCCATTGGTCCTCCATCTCCTCCAAGAAATCATCAGCCGTTCACCCATGTCACATGACATCACGTGTCCCAGGTCCCGGCTCCAAAAACTCAAACCCGACCCGGTTTCTTGGATCATGGAAACCCACTCACCTGAATCCTTCTCGAGTTTCTTCAACTTGGTCTTCCTCACGCACCTGTTCTGGTTGTGTGTATTCGACGCGCCAAGTGAAGTAGGGTCCTTGTATTTCAATTCCTGGCTGGGTCCAACCTCGAAGGCTTAACGTGTTTACACGCGCCGGTCATGCGAACGTTCTTGATATCCATCGGCGTTGATGCGGAGCTGTGTTTCATGCGCACCTTTGGGTACATGTTAGCAAAATGGTCTATTTTAAGGGAGGTGGGCGTAGGATTACAGACGTTAACCCAGGCTCGGTTTCAGCCTTTGGGCTTCTCGTATGCTAACGAGGCCCATGGGCTTTGGGTCATGAAAGGATACGCGCCGGTTTCGGGAATGAAGCTCACGCGCAGTAACGGAAAAGGAAATAAATTTCCTGTTATGGAGGCGGAGGAGTCGGTGCTGCGGTACGCGCTGGCGCACCAACAGCTGGAAGCGGTTATCCAGTTGGAATATTCCGTCGGATTCCATGACGGCTACATTCTTGTGAATGCACGTGTTGATAATCTGCGGTTCCACGTGGCGAGATTGGGGTTCAACAAGAACGACGAAGCGGATTATCAGGAAGAAAAGCACTTCCCGTCGAGGATTCGGGTTTGGGTCGGCCCGGAGGTCGGGTCAACATACGTCGCCGGACTGAGTTTGGGTCGATCGACGGGGAATGGGGAGCGAGAAGTGGAAACGCAAAGGATTGTGAAAAGTAATGTGGGGAAATCGAAGGTGTCGAAGGTGAAGGCGAGAGCGAGGGTTTCGACGAAGACGAAGGTGAAGGACTGGAGGTGGGAGCAAGACGCGGAGGGGAACGCGGTGGTGTTCGATGCTGTGTTGTGCAACAACGTCATGGGTCATGAAATAGCGGCGGGTCTGGCGGCATCTGGCGGTGGTGGTGGTGGGAAGTTTCAGAAGAGATGTGGGGGAGCGGGTGGGGTGGTTTTTGCTGGAGATGAGTACGGGGAGGGAGTGGGGTGGAGATTGAGCAGGGAAATGGAAGGGAGTGTGTTGAGGTGGAGAATTGGAGGGCGTGTTTGGTTGAGTTATTGGCCTAACAATGTGAAGAGTTCGTATTATGAGACGAGGTGTGTGGAGTGGTGCGATGAGGTTGATCTGCCTCTGATCCCTGGAAAATGATGTTATTTAGAGAGGAAAACTATCATGTAAATGTGTTTGGAAGTTTTTCTTTGTTCTACAGTGAAACTATATTGGCAATGTTCTCAGATTATATGAATATGAATTTATGTTTCCAATACCATACCATATCATACAGTGAGTTGAATTAAGAGGTAAAATAATTTATTTTTATTGTGTAATTAAAGATTAAAAAAGAAATTCATAAAGCTCAAGAAGGATTTCCTTTGTTGTTTTCTTCTCAGATTCTATTTAATAATTAGTCCAAGTTCAAGAACTTAATTTCTTGAGCCAGCATCTAAATACAAATTTAACCTTCCCCTTTCCTCTTTTTTTTAGAAGAAAATTCAATCTTTCATGTGTCTAGGACTAATTACCTTGTCCAAGAAGTCTTCAAATAATTAGATAAATCTATTCTTTTGTAATTTATTTCGTTTTTAAGTTATATAATAAAAAGTATTTCTTTTTCATTAATTAAGACATTCACATATATGCTATCTAGTTAGAACATATAGTTGTTAGCTTTATTTTTATTTTGGCAAAAGTGGGGGAAAAGGTCCTCAATTTTGAATTTACAATTAAGGCTCGAAGTTTAATTACACTAATTAAAATTTTAAATTACATGAAATTCTAAATTAAAATTTTTATTGAATAAAAGTTTAACTTCTTATTAAATGTCTCATGATATTTTTACTATTTATTACTTACTTCTACACGTGGCTTCTACACGTGGCATGCCTAGTTAAGAACTAATGTTGAATGGATTAAATATTTATGTGCCACGTGAGAGTTTTCCTCCATAGACTAAATGGGATTCATGGGGTCCTTTACCCCTTTTTTTTTTTTCCTTTTAAGCGGCCCTTTACGCCTTTCATTTTTAACATCTTCAAATTGGGATGAAAATCCTAAATTTTGAAACTTTTTTTTTTCTTTTCCATTCCTTATTCTCTTGAAATACTTGTTATTTTTGAAACATATCTATCTCTCATATCTCAAATTATACACAAAAAACCACATTTCACCATTCTCTGTTGAATATTTTTTTTTATGCACTTCTATGAGACATGCTTTGTATCTCAAATGCACCCATAATTCACTCATTTCATTGCCAATCAAGCAATTTCTTGAAGCTTTTGCAATGTGGTGGCATGTGAAGGAGTTGATTGAGTTGAGTGCTATGGAATGCACAAGCAAGCCAACATGTTGCTAGCTCTATTCGCCAATAGAGACGAGTACAAATTGGAAGAAAACAACGGGTGCTTGATGTTGAGTTGACACACTTGGCCACTCATGGCCACCTTGGTTATTGTCATTTTAGTTCTTGTTCAATTTTTGAGAAAGCCATCAACAAAATCAAGCTTTTGGTCTTCTAAGACAGAAAAGAGAGAATGAAAGGGGAGAGGAGAATTTGAAAGAGACAAAGACAACAAAACAAGAAGGAAGAGAGACTTTAACACTTTAGATCTAATTTTTTTGGTGCTTTAAATCTGAATTTTTAACCTTATTTCATACTTTTCCGGCACAATTCTTCTTTCCTGCCTCTAGTTTGTCTCCTTTTTTGGTCTAGTTTCTCGTCTCAAATGCAGTTTTACTCATAAATATACAAGAGCTAATTTAATTAGTATTAATTATCCACTGTAAAAAATGATAAGACATTAACGACTTCATAAGATACTTAAGAAGTTAAAATTTTGTTTAATTAAGACCTTAATTGAAAATTTCATGTACTTTGAAATCTTAATTAAGTAATTAAAGTCTCAAAGTATTTTAAATTTTAGTCAAAGTCTCAAAAAAATCCTTAAATCAGATTGTAGAGGAATCTAAACCGCAGCAATTCCCCAATCCCACAACACAACAAATCACCACCCCCGCTAAAACCCAAACATACCCGATAAACCCTAAACCCTGAAACCTTGACGCCTGCTTTCAATTGCTCATTGCTGCACAAACGATCGGGAAAATGGCTTGGCGCAATGCCGGATCTCTGTCTCGCTCGGTCATGTCTGCCGCAAGGTCCCCGTTGCTCCGTTCTCCACCACCAGTCCCCCGCATCCGACTATCTCCTTCCTCCGCCTCCCGCCTGCATTCCCGTCGCCTCTCCTTCGCGCCTTCCAGGTTCTCATTGCAAACCCATAAACCCTGCGTAGTTATGGTTACCCAAAAGATAAAAGAAACAACAAAGGAAAATGAGAGTGTTGATCTCTGAATCTCAATTTCTTGTTATGAGGAGAGATTTGTTGTTTGCGATTTTCCTACGAGATATGAAATTATGGAGTTTTTTATGATGGTCATGGGCGGGGGCGGGGCGATTTTTGATAATTGAATTTGGAGTTTCCAAAGACTTTCCAAATGAAACCCCCAATTTGTTAATGTTCTTGTTGGCTTCTTTCTTCTTGTTTGCTTACTGGTTCTAATCTGTTGCTTCAGGAATTTCGGAGAACTGGGATGTGTGTATTCATTCTTGCCTCTGCATAGTGTTGTGTCCACAGTCCGTCTCACATCCCACCTGACTGTCAACGCTCGTGCTTTTTGCGAGCTGTCTCATGGTACCTTTCGCCGTTCTTGTCAGGATCGCTAGTAGTCTCTTTGTGAGTCTTACCATTTCTAGGATGCATGACAAATTGGAAACTCTTATGTTTTTGAACAGTTGTTCATAACTTCATTTTTATGCAGTAATTACTTTTCTTTTTCTGTAATTATTTTATACCTTGCATAGAAGCTGGCATAAATTAGGTAGCTTTCTTAGTTTTTTGAAAATGGTTGATAAGAGGAGTTGGGATTGGGATTGATAGGGAGGAGTGGAGAAGATGGCTGATGCACGTGGACTTTCAATCAGCTAAAGGGAAGAGAATGATGCTACATTGTAGGTTACTCATTTATTCTTTCAGTTTCTTTTCTGTTATCAAAATGAATACTGAAATACAGTAGATCGCTATTGTTGTATAAGTAATTGACATGCTAAAGCCTTGGGATATAAGCTTAGATATTTGGTTCGATTTTATACATATCAACTGCCTTTTTTTTTCTGGCAACAAACTAGTTGACTAAAGGCTAGTTGAAGAAATAAATGAGACGAACAATTTAAGCTCATTGATGGTAGAGAGCTATCAGCAATGATATCCCATTAGGGTTCTCACCAATTCATTTCCTAGTAGTTGTTCTCTGGATTCTGGATTGATGTTTACCCTTTTGCATTTCTTTGTAAAGTGGCTACTCTCAAATTTGAATTTTATTCCTCTGGAGCTTACAAATCCAAGATTTACCATTGTGTCATGCTTTTGTCTTTTCTGTAACTATGATTAGCAAAAGAAAAAACCAACTCTTTTTCATTCTGTAAGTATTTATGCAACTCAATTATTTGACAGCTGTGGTTTTTCATTTAACTCAGTTAAGTTTTTGGTTATTCCTGTTGTCTGTGACATTGATTTGTTGGATGTGATGACTACTTTATTTAGTGTTTCAACTAACATCACCTTACATATCTTGATTAAGCAACATTTCAGTAGAAATTGTTATATATGATATACATTGGATGTATTGATACTTGAAAATTAAGATATCTATTTCTTGTTACCTTAGTATTGTTCTTAGTTTTTCTATCTTCCCTTTTTTTCTTCTGGATTATGCAGCATGAGATTATGTGTCTTGATTTTTGATATTGTAGGCCTCATTTAATATAAAATCTTTAACTGACAAGTCTAAAAGCTTAGGTGCTGTCATGAGAAAATACTATCTGACTCAAAACAACTTCTTCTTCATCATCATCATCACAATCATCACCCTGGGCTGGTCCATTACCTAAATTTGTGTAACCACCTATCATGATAGTTCATCATGGTTACAGGTGGACAATGATTGGGACATTTTTGCTAGTCATTTACTATTTAGATTATGGTTACAGATGGGGAATGGTTTTTCGCTATAAGGGTGTTAACCAGAGTACTGTGGTGGTTAAATTTTGAATCTTGATTTTCCAGATTCATTGAAATATTGATATTCTTAAGATTCTTATTGGCATTTGATAAGTTGTTCTTCAAGTAACAATATCATAAGATGACAATTTGAAAAGTAAACATTCTATCGTTATCTGAAACCTTACACAATCAAAGTAACATCAAAACATAAGTTTAAGGTTTTGGCTAATTGGGGAAAATTTCTCTCCTGTTGGATATGGTAATGTTATTGCACCTTTTGCATATTTGTCATTGCTTCATCCTGGGGAATGGTAAAGAATTTTACCATGTTCAGTTCTTCTGTAAGGTTCTTTCCCCTTAATAAGCAGTGCCCAGTGCAGAGCTCTTGAATCCTTATTAGTGTTTAAATCTATTTTCTTCTTTTATGTGTAACATTCAAATGTTAGGTAGGATTGGTTGTTTGCTTGTATTGATAGGCAAGACAGGCAGAATATTTGTTGAAGTTATATGCATGTAATGGCCGTATTATTTCTATGTTTTACTTACTGGATTCTATTCAATCAGTTTACCTGTAAGCCTATTTCTTCATCACAGTATGCCTAAACACTATTAGAGCAAGTTAGAAATCATATTTTGAAGTCTCTTCAGTGAAGCTTTGGCCCCAATTATGAGTTTGGTACCAACTTTTATGCGGTCCTGAATAGTAATCATCTAAAGCATAAAGAAACCAGTTAAAACCCATCACAAGCTGTGGTTCCGTTCTGATATATTGTCCTCAAACTCATCATTCTTTTCCATTTTTTTCACATTCAACTAAGGTTTGAGGTTTCGGTGATCCATTTTCTAGGATGCTAACTTGAATGATCATGATATCATTCTGTCGTAATTTGCTTGAACTAAAGTCAATTTCAAATGATGATTTGACTTGCTGTTTGAAGAGATTTAAGTCAGAGGCAACAGATAAATCCGATAAATTTTGTCTTGAAACTTACTAATTTGGTTTTGAATACTTAACATGGATTCTTTTTATTGCTTTCATTGCCAGGTACTTGATAGGCCATTGGATCAACAGAGCTGTGTGCAACAACATATTGAGACAGTGGGAGTGTAGGTTTGCCCTGCCGTAGTTAATGGATTCTGAGTAGGAAAGTTAAATGAAACTGTCATCTTTTGTGCTCCTTCCAACAAGAAAAAACCTAGCATTTTCTTCTTTGGTGGTACTGTACTCTGTAGGCACTTCATCTTTTTTTTTTTTTAATTAACCTCTCAGTATATGATAATCACATTGGGTCTTGATTAATTCAAAATTGAGCTGTGTCTGATTTCAATAGAGGAAAACTTTTTCAACGTCTGTTTCTCTATTCACAAGACTTGAAATCAAGATTTTACTTAAGAGAACCGAGTTCTTTCCACTCGGACCAATAGATCATTGGTTAGGCACTTCATCTTTAGTCCTTCAATGGATCATTTATCTTTTGGTTTGTGATTAGTTTTTATAATTTTGTATTTATTTTAAACTTGCATCAACCTATTAATGATTTAATAAGCTAATGTTTAATGATTTCGTTTTCCAACCTTTCAAAATCTTAAGCAAAGGTGATGTTTCATTTCATATTCATACGGTAGAAAACAAGACTCCATTTTGCTATTGTGTGAGTAGGGCCTTTTTTTTTTTATCAATATTTAATGGTAAACTCATAAAATAATTATAAAGATCTTAGAAATTAATAAAAGCTAAACTTAAAAAAGTTACAAGCAAAGCGATAAAAGCTTTATCTTTTTTGGACTATTTGTTCAAGTGCAGTTCATTGTCAATAGCAGATATTCGACAACTAATTTCATAATTCAAATGCTTTTATTTGTTAGATTATAAATAACAGTTAATAATCGTTCTCTGATAGCTAATACTGTCCCCCTTTCCTTCGTTTGCAGCATTTTATAAATTGCTTTTAGTTTATAGAAATGTGTTTTCAGTATTAACTGAATTTTTTTTTTGTTAATTTAGATATTAAAATTGTTAAAATATTTTAAATAAAATTATTTTTTATATTTTTTTATTAATAATATTTTAATAATTTTAATATCTAAATTGCATTAAAAAAACCATCTGTATTGAAAAACACTTTTCTCTTTAGTTTAGTTCATGCTCCCACAGTAAAGAAACTGTTTTAAAAATTGCCTTCCACCACTTGCTTCTACTGTAGATAAATTGATGGTACTTGTTAATGATTAAATTTCTTATTCACCTGATTAGAGGCAGCTGTTTAAAATTTTCTTTTTGTATATGTAACTCTTGCTTCTACTCTACAGTATAAAAACTGTTCTAAAAATTTGGGGCTTTTAAGTGTCTAGCACAAATCATCTGTTGACCTCCAGCCCTCATGTGATTTGAGCACATGGGTTGCCTCTATGGATCACAAGGAGACTACATATATGTCCACTTGGCGTGACCCACCCACCTACCCACCCACCGAGCATGTGTTACATAAATTCTTGTGTTTTGGTGGAAGCAGCTGAAGCACAAGATCTGGACTTGAAACACTACTTATGTAGTTCAGTGGAAGGTGAAGTTGGATGTAGACTGGCCCTTCAACTTATATAATTTTGGCAATCAAGTCCATTAGCTTTATGAATTAATCATTTTAAATTAGTCATTCATAACCAGAAAAAATATATATATATATGTTTATATATTTGAACAAAAGAGCTTGGAGCTTTGTCCCTTTGAGACAAAAGAGCATTTAGGCCCACATTAACAGGTTGTTGATTGTCAAGTTGTGTGGACAGATCCCGTCCTAGGGGGGATGCAGGTGAACTATAGTCTAAAGTACCCAACTATATGGCCTTTTCCTTGGAAGTGGTCTTAAGAGATGTATGCCGACGCTAAAGAGATTTTGAGTCTCAACTGAGACATTTCATCGATCCAAATGAAAGAAAAAAAAAAAAGGGAAAAAGGGAAAAAAGAAAGATAACATTATCAAAACAAATAATATTGTTGTCTAGAAGCTACATATATAAAAAGAGAGAGAGTGAGGATAATGCATATTATTCTTAATTTAAAAAAAAAAATTGAAGTTTTAATTTTAAAAATACTACTATTTAAAAAAATATTTAAAAAAAATTAATTGTTAAATTTAATATTTTATTCATGTAAATCATTTATATTAATTTTTAAATTGATTAAATATAAATAACTAGTTCATTAATTATAAAAAATTTATTACTGTTAAATATTTATTTAAAAAAGCAAATTTCTTCATTGATTGGTTATAAATGTTAAATTAACTTAAAAATTGACATGCATGACTTATATTAATAGAATATTAAATCTAATAGTTGATTATTGAAATTATTTATTAAAAGATGATGCTTTTTAAGTTGAGAGTCTAATTTTTTTAAAAGTAGAGATTGATATGCGTTATTATCTTTTTTTATATATATTGTTGTTTAGCTTCAAAGTGGTGTCTCAAGCAGTTTAAAGCTTTAGAGTTTAAGTTAAAAATTTTAAGTTTAAAT